GAAGTGGTAGTTAGTGGGAGTAGTGAGTGTTAGAAGGGGTAGTTGTCCTGGTTTAGTGCAGATAACTAGGTCTTCCGAGGAGGAGGACAGGAGAGATGGGCCCAGGGGTATCATTTTTCTGTCTTTAAATGACCAGCGTTTTCCTGACGCTTGATGCTGGCACCCAGCCGCTCCCTCTCCTAGATGCCTGCAGACCCAGGGCACGGGGTTAGGGTCTGCCTCTATGTGGGTGGGGCCGGCTGACCTGGCCCCCTTCCCCCCCGCCCCCCCTCCCCGGGCGCCAGAACCTGTGGCTTTAGAGTTTCCACCGGAGGGAGGGAGCGGCTCTGCAGCCCCGCGCAGGGACCCCCCCCTCCTCCCCACGCAGCATTGTACTTTTGTGGGCATTTGGCTTTCCACTGATTGGCCGTTTAGCCAGAGTGCTAAGAAAGCAAGCCATGCTGAACTCAGTTTTGTTTTATAGTAATGGCATCTTCATTCCTGATACGTGTTTCACTGGTTCCTAAGGCCACTGGGATTCTTTGCTCCTTGAGTGTGTTCGAAACCAAATTCTCCACTTTCTCCGGGGTGCTCCCCCGAGCATAGATGAGAAGCCACCCACTGACTCCCGGGAGAGATCCAGGGCGTCCTTGCTAACTCTCTCCTCCACACCCATCAGTCGTCCAGTCTCACTGATTCTCCAAAACATGCCCTGTGTTGTGTCTGCCCCGTTCTCTCTCTCTCTCAGGCAGAGCTTGGGTGCTACTGTCTTTGACGAACAGGGTAACCCGGGGCTCCTCCTTGCCAGCCGGCACTCCTCCCTGGGAAATGTTTTCTAGGTGTATGGGATGCCTGGCAGCATGTAGTCTCAGAGAGGAGGTCGGTCAGAAATGGACTCATTTGGTTGGTACAGTGTTGGACTCTCCCTCAGGCTAGCACATGAGAGCAGGTGCAGGTGTGGGGAGGGTGGGCAGGAGCCGGTGCATCCAGGCTCTGGAAGATCCCCTGCGGCGGGTTCTGGGCTGCTTGTGCTGGAACCTGCATTCTGGGGAGTCCCTGAGGCCACCCCAGCCTGCGGCATGCAAGGCAGTGTGCAGATGCTGGACCTGCTCAGTTCCCAACTGCAGTAGGGTGCATCTGCGTGTGGTTCTGGACCTTTCCTTTAGGAGTTTATTAGAAAGCATGTTCCCCAGCATGCACCTGGGACCTATTCTCCAGGAAAAACAGATTAGCTTTTTTTTATTGGATAAATTTGACATTGTGTAAATTTAAGGTGAATCCTGTGTAATGTTGATACCTTTATATAATGCAATATGGTTGCCCTTGGAACGATATTTGTCATGTTACATACTTACTGTGTGGAATAAACTATGTTTATTCAACTGTATGTGGCTATTTTCGCACTCGTGACAGGTTTGTACCCTTAAACGCCATCAATCTTATCCCCCTACCCTTTCTCCTGGTCACCACCATTTTATTCTTTTTCAGATTCCACATATAAGTGATATCACATAGTACTTTCTCCATCTGGCTTACTTCACTGAACATAAGGTGCTCAAGGTCCATCTCTGTTGTTGCAAATGCCAGGATATCCTCCTTTCTCATGGCTGAGTAATTGTCCATTGTGTGTGAACCACACCTTTTTTTATCCATTTATCCGTTGATGGGCATTTGGGTTGTTTCCATATCTTGGCTATTGTGAATAATGCTGTGATAAACGTGGGTGTGCAGATCTCTTGTGGAAATCTTGTTTTCATTGCCTTTGGGTATCCTCCCAGATGCAGAATCGCTGCACTGTATGACAGTTCTACTTGAACTGTTTTGACGAACATTCATTTTGTTTTCCACAGTGGTTGAATGCATTTACATTCCCACCAAGAGTGTTTCAGGATTTCCCTTTCCTCCACATCCTCACCAGCACCTGTTTCACTTGCGTTCTTGATGCTAGCAGTTCTGACAGGTGTGAGGTGATAGCTCATTGTGGTTTTGATTTTCATTTCCCTGATGGTTAGCGATATTCAGTATCCTTTCATGGGCCTGTTGGTCATTATGATGTCCTCTTTGGACAGATGTCTGTTTAGTTCTTCTGCCCATTTTTATTTTTTATTTTTTTATTTTTTTA